AATTTTTCTTTTTAAAGGCTTCAGGTAGATAGATTCCTGCCCACAAACAAAGTAAGTCTCAGTAAAATGACTGCCTGACTAAAAATGATCTTCCAGAGGCACTGCTTTTCATCACAGCAAGGCTAAATATGAGTTTGAGGAGCTTTCTGCTACTTGTTTGGGTTTTGTTTATGATTAACTTGATTTATTGTCTCACTAGTATGAGGAAAAGGTGTTGCCTGCTCTCTCAGATATTTCCAGTCTCTTGGGTTGCTCTATGAAACCACGCAAGTCAGCAAAGTTTGTCAATCTAATCCTCATTCAGTGCCACAAGAGGTATCAGTAAATGGAAAACATGCTTAACTCAGTAGCTTGGTGACATTTTATGAGCAGTGCTGTACAAAAGGTCGCACAGATGACCTGTTTGCTTCCCCCTTGAAATCTCAAAACTATTGGAAAAGCAAAATGCTGACAGTGGCTGAAGCCTGATTTGAAAAGGGAGTTGCATAGCAACTGCAAGGATAGAGGCACCATAAAATAAGGGACTCATATCACATAGGGAAAGTCACCTTTGCTCTCACTTCCTTAGGTAACTTTTCATCCAGCTGCAATTCAGCTGCTATGAACAACAGATAAAAAGTACCACAGGTCAGACTGCAGTCCTAGAACAAAAAAAGGAGAGAAATAAACACTTGATGTGTGGCTACATAAAAAATGGCTTTTCTTACGTTATTTGTATTATCCTTCCATATATTCAAAGGCAGAAAACTTTACTATTTTGACAAAATATAGCTGGCAGGAGAATAGAAAAGTGTGGAGTTTCTGGTTTTTATGCCTTCTGAAGTCACCATAGCTGAGAGATCAACTTATGGATTCAATCATGATTTGCAAAATGTTCATAATTGTACTTGTGTAAAAGCACAGGGAGTAGTTATTGTTATCAGTGAAAATTATTTGACCTCTATTTATGAAGAAAATTTGGGAAAAAGGTTAATGGGTTGCATGCATCCCTCTAAAGACATAGATTCTACCATGGTTTGGTGTTTATTTTGACTGTATGTCAATAGAGATGTGCATATGCATCTGGGTAGATGACTGGAGGGTGCCCTCATCTAGAGTGCCTTTAACTTCCATATCTTTAGGTCTGTCAATTGTTACATACAGAAAAGCTTTACATGTGTTTGTATATGGAGATTTTTTACTAATACCAACAAAATTTGGTATGAGATTTAACATATTTTTACTGTGAATCATTGAGCACCTGCAGAAGGAGATTGTATGTCTTCAGCCAAATTATTTCAAATAATTTAAACTATTGTTACACTTCAGCAGCAAACACATGACTCTGTTTACCGTGGAGATAAAACTGTACAGAACTATATTAGACATAAGTACTAAATATACATCCATGCTTTATTTTCATCCAGTTATCTAGATGCACAGTTTTACTATCCTTCTCAGGTGCAATATCTTCAATGTCAGCTTGTGTCAAGCAAGACTTGTGTCAGATTGTCTAATGCAACTCACAGCAACTTCTTCAATGCTGCTTGTTTCTTCTTTTAGAAGACAGTGCACCTGCTGGGTTTTGATAGTGCAGAAACTTTGCTATTCATCTCTAAAAAAATGTTTCAGGGTCAGTGTTGATTAATACATGTTAATTGTTCACGTGGTTCTGTTTTGTAGCTCTGCATTAAAAATTACCAAAACAAATCGTCCCATGGGAATGACTAAAGATTCCTGCTTCAATACAGATTGTTTAAAAGACACTGCTGGATTAATCCTAACTAGTCGTAATCCCCCTTGATTTTGGCTGCCTATATCAGCTAGTTTTACTTTCCCATGGAATGCAGCCCTTTGTGAAAGAGAATGAAAGAAGCACAGAGCTTAAAAAAAATTAAAGAAGGAAACGGAGAAGGGAGCTGTTCTATCTTTCTAGCTAGCATTCAAAGGTGACAGGACACTGCTTTCCTTTCCACCAATCTAACTGTAGATGATCTGCTTCATACTTGAACTGAAAGTCTCTGTTTCTCCATTTAGGAAAACATCATGCAGAGGAAGAAGATTTTATGTAATTTGTCCTACCCTTATAGGATATGGATATCGTACTCTATATTAATGGTTTACATCAACATGTTCACAAAGTGTCTTATCTTTACAACAAGGTTAATTATTAATTCTGGCATTTTTCAGAAGTGCATTAACGTGTTTCAAGCCTGGACTGAAGCTTCCATTTCTCTCACATCCTCAATGAATGCTGCTAGGTCTGTTTCAGTGGAGGCTGTAGATGAGCCTAGAGGCACACTGAGAGTGAGAGTCAAGCCCTTCATACTTCTAAGATGCAACCAAACTGTGCTGCCGGACTGAAAGTAAAGGGCTTAAACAAGGCTCTGCCTGCCCTCCAGACCAAGCACTGTGTAGGTAGATCAGGAAAGTCATCATTCAGCAGCACCCTATGGCTAATGTCAAAAAGGCAAATTACCCATGAATTGTTTTGCAGAAGGGCAAAGGCTGCTGCAAGGGTAGTTGGTATCTATCAGCTGTGTGAGCTCAGACTGCCTTCTGAACTGAAGGCTCACAGTCGAATTGTATCCATCTACCGTGACTGTGGAGACAGAAGTATCATGTCGAAAGCAAGCTACACTGGGTCCTGCTCTGGTACAGGCAATCTAAGTACAGGTAGAATCTTCGGTCAGGCTCCTAAAAATTAAGGTAACTAATTTTTATTTATTTATTTTTTTTAATTGGGCCTTTTGATTCACAGTAATTTGGTTTTGTATCAATAGCACTAAGCTACATTTGCTACTATATCTGTGTGCAATTAAACATGTTCTTCACTTTCTGTTAACAATGCAACAGTCTTTCGTAGCCAAACCCCACCCCAGATGTGAAAACAAAACGGTTCCTTGAGTGAGTTTTACACTAATCTGTCGAAAGGCTTGTTGGCCTTTGCTGGTGAAAACACCAAACTACTCAACTCTGTTTCCTATTGCAGTTTGAAACCAGAATTAAGGCCTATATATACAGTCTATTATTTTAACACCAAACCAAATCCTTCATATACAAGCTGGTACTGAGATAACTCTTTTTTCACTGTTCCATTCCACTCCTGTGGGAACTAACTGAACCTCCATCCAACCCAACAAAAATGGGTCAAAAAAGTCAGCCAAATAATTTGCAGTTAATCTGCACAGGGGGTGTGCTTTAAGTTTACAATGCTGGAGTCTGAGATACAGAGTGTGTGCCCTTGTTTCTGATATTTAGTTCTAAGATCCAGAAAAACACTGAATTTCATATAATATGAAGC